TGGATATACTTAGCAACAGAAGGGCGCCCTGTACGTTGGGCACGAAGTATAGGAAACTTGCATGGTTAAAAAGAAGGGCGCCGCCTACGTTGGGCACGACTTCCGCCTCATTTTTACAATGTGAGAACTCTATCTTGTATTTCTAGTATCTTTGTTGTTGGTTTTTTCCAACACGCGTCTCATTGCTGACACGCGTGCGTAGACCGCCAAGAGATGGAGAATAGTGAAACCATGACGCTACAAGACAAACGTAGAATATGATGAGAAAGAAATAATAAACAACAACAAGAAACTATACACACACCACATATCAACAACACATAACAACTCACAAACATCACACATACATTACTTATTACATTCATCATTATTAAATACTAATTACATTATTTAATATTTTTTAAATGTGGTTTTTTAGGCGAAATCGCGCAAAAAATATTTGTATCAATTGGCCTATGTTTTACCAAAGAGTATAAATAGAACAAATCCAAACATGACTATTTTTGTAAGTGTAAAATGTATTTTTTTCACAATATTTCATATGAATTAGTGATAATGGCCAGAGCATAGGCTTTTTCTGTGTTGTAAAAAATGTCAAATAAATCATGAAATAAAAGTCTCATTTTTAACCCAACATGAAATAAATCACTGTAATTGAACTTGAGTTATTTGTATGTTGTATGATGTGTACACATGCTGTGTGCTTGTGATGTTTAAAATGCAATGATATTTAATTCCACTCACCTCCTGGTGTTCTAAACACTCAACTGTTGCCGTTTCAATCATATTCTCTAATACGTAATCTGGTGCGCCGCATATCACAGCGCGCATTAATGGCGTCCAGTCGCCCTACGAAAACAAACATTATACTGAATTACGATACAGTTCATACAACTACCAATATAATTTTTTACGAGTTTCATTATTTCAATAGTACGATGATATTCCAATATGATTTAAGAATTATTATATTATAAACAGTTAAAAATGTGAATTCATTTTATTAATTTTATTTACGATCAATTTTTGGTAATTTTTTTTTTCATATAATTAGGAGTTAAAATAAGAACATCAGATACTGTAATATTCTTTATAAGTGATTTGGAAAACGGAGTAGAATACTGTATCAGTGAATAGGTCTAGACAATAGTTGTTGGGTCATGGCAGTGGTGGATTCAAGGGTCGGGGTTCAGCCGGCTCGCTCCCCCCCCCCCCTAAATTTTTCAAAATTCTAAAGAATTGGAGAAAAACGGAAAATCATTTTCTAATTTAAGTCTCAGAGTGCCATTTCCCGTCATCTAGAGGTTCCATAATCGTAAATTTTCTTACCTCAGCTCCAATTATGCTGGGGTCATCATTCCTGATGATGACATTATAATTAATGTCGAAATATTGAATCCCGACACGATGGCGTGCATTTCGATACTTGGAGTATGTATTATACTATCTTATCTGAGATTAATCAGTGGACCTTTCGGTGTAGACCCTCCATCTGTCAAAGTCCCTCTCTGGGCACCCAGCTCCTATTTCAAGTTCCTGGATCCGCCACTGCATGGTTTATGCATGGAGAAAATATTTTCTCCATGGTTTATGTTTAGTATGTTAAAATATGACATTATTATTAGTAGGCCTACAGTGTTATAGTAGGCCCTATTATATGCCTTGTAAATTGTTCGTGCGTGAACATGTAATTATTGGTAAGTTATTTTGAAGAGAAGGTACGGTACTGTGTCAGTGAATAGGTCTAAACATAAACGTATATATGTTAGACCATGGTTTGTGTTTAAAAAAAATGATATTAGCATGTCTATGTTTTGTCAGTACAGTATAGTAGGCCCTATGCCTTGTAAATTGTTCGTGCGTGAACCACGTATTAACATTTTATAAAACAGGAGAATACCTGACAACGGCGCGTGTAAATAATTTCAATTTTAATTTTTAATTTTATTTATTTTTATTTTTTTTTAAATAATTGTATAGGCCTACTCATTTAACTAAAAAGAACAGCACGAGTAAAACAAATCTAAGTAGGAACAATTAGAGTAGATAAATCATTTAGTACTAAAGTCCCTAGACAGAATGCCGCATGTAAGTAATTTAAATATAATAAATGATATTTTCTAAAAAAATTCATTAGTTTATCACCCCTCCCTCGTCACTTTTAGGAAAATTCTTTTGACAGTGACAGTCAGTTATTTCAACATAACATGTGATCAAATTATTAATATAATACTATTTTAAAAAATTCATTTAATTAATGGACTTTTTCTTGAGAAATGAAAATGAAATAAACATTTAAATGATGTGTATTTACTAATGAATTTAGATAAAATATTAACCAGAATAAATAAATATATACGAATCTAATGCAATAAAAAAAATAAAAAAAAAAAACTACCTCCCTCATCAGTTTTTATTCGTTGATAGGTCGATAAACTAAGAATTATTTTTTATGTGGCCTTAGCTAACACATGGAAGTTTTTTGTGTTTGGATTTTTAAATAACTAGGAATAGGCCTATGCCTATAATACTGTTACTAAAATTGCATTGTTGCATTAAGTTCTTATGTATTTATTCTGGTTACTATTTTATCAAAATTCATTAGTAAATAAACATCATTTAATTATTGATATCGTTTTCATTTCTCAAGAAAAAGTCCATTAATTAAATGAATTTTAAAAAATAGTACTAATCCTATATTAATAATTTAATCACATGTTAAGTTTAAATAACTGACTGTCACAGCTATTTTAAAATAACCTATATTAGATTAACATAAACACCAGAGATGAGGTTTATTGTGTTACGAAACAGGAAAAGCATTCCACAACTGACTGATAATTATTTAAGTTTTGACATTTGAAATTAAGAGTGAGACGAACTTCCAATTTAAATCAACCAATACGATATTATTAAAAAATTATCTAATTAACACATTATAAATTCAAACCCCTCTAATAAGATTTATTTACTTATGACCTGAAGTTTACTTACAACCATTCATCGCCAATTATTATTGATATTTTTATTTTATTTACAACTTAACGAAAAGTATGTGTACTATCCATTGATAGACCTATTATATAGTCGTATTAAAAATTGTTTACGTTTTTATCCTGTATTTCGCTTTATGAACGCATAGTGCCTCATTCAATTACTTTGTATACTTTTTTTGTATTTATATTGTTTTATTTTATAAGCACAGGAAAGCAAATTTTATGTATATTTTTTCATGTGACAATAATATCTATCTTGAATTTTGAATCTTGATATTGAATGCCATCGATATTGTAAAAGTGCAAGTTCAAATAAACATTATTGAACTACAGAGTTCAATAATGTTTATTATTGAACTACAGAGTTCAATAATGACTCGTTTTTTTAGTTATCAGGGAAACTTATCAATGCGGAAGTTTATCAACTAACGAACTAATTTGTAGGCCTAATATAAATAAAATGTATATTGGTCACACGGCTTGTAAGAATGACAATGTGGTTTAATTATGGTTTAATTGAGCATGGTGCATTTTAAACGAGGTTCTTTGTAAAAAGCACATATTGTGGGAATTTTTATATTTCTTTAGTACAGTGTGAATGCTATTGTGTGGAGGATAGTAATAAATGCTCAAAATAAAGATATTTTTAAGCCCCGAAACCTAAATACCGGGCTGTGTTCAGTGTTAGATAGTTTTACCATTAATTAAGTAAAGTAATAATATTGGTTACAATATTAGAATAACGGTATGAAGACAAAAACATCAAATAGACCCCTCATCTATGAGATGGCCAAATATTATTCACCAATCATGGTTAAATTAAGTACCGGTAATAATAAATTTCTGTATAAAAACCATCAATATTGTTTCTTTGACTTTGTATTCTCAAATAATCAAGCGATATTTTTTCAAGTACTATCGATTGTTATTTTTCAAATTTATTTTACTCCAGTATTATGTTTCTGTTTATATTCTTATCGGGTTAAAGGTTTATCCAGCTTTATTAGTAAATAAGCATATCTTCATGGTTGGTTAATTTCAGCATGGAATCGGGAATTTCATTTTTTTTTTATTGATTTAATCCGTAGATTATGTATCTTTATCAATAATATCTTATTCTGAAGCC